TGGTCAAGGTTGAGAAACACTATTCTACAGTCTTCTTTAAAAAAAGCAAACATCCCCCAAAATGGTATTTAAGCTCCCTTATATGGAATACATTACACAGCAAGCCACATGTAGACATTTGAAATATGGTTTCTAGGGTTTAAACCAAAACGAATAACATTAATTAAAATTCAGTATAAAGTGTAAATGTCTAAATTGTGGTTAGCAGTTGGGGACACAAATGGAAAGGACAGGGAGGAAAGTTTTCTCACTGTGCTTTAAAAAAAACTATAGTTAATAGTTATTCTTTTGTTCTAGGTTAGTCATTTTCTTACTTTCTTTTGTATTTTATTATTTTAACACTTAAAAATATTTTTCAAAAGAAAAAAGAGTATTTAAAAAATGGTCAATCTGATATATCACTTTTTGGCTTTAAAAATTTTTTAATGCCCCCCTGAATTTAATATGACATACTCACTCCCATGGCCCACCATGTACAGAATTGCAGGTTCAGGTTTTATTTTATTTTCCTGTAAAAAAAAGAGAATCCCTTCCAACAGACTTTCCAAGCAGAATTTCTGAATATCTGACATGCACAAATGTGGAATCAGATTTTGAGTGCGACATTGAGGTTTTCCCCTTTCTTCTGAGAGACAAGTTTAGGCTGAAGAACTTGAGATAGAGGGTGAGCTGAGTGTTTAGATCAGGGTTTCTGAACCTTGGCATGCTTGCTGGCTGGGGAATTCTGGGAGTTGAAGTCCACACAAAGTTGCCAAGCTTGAGAGACACTGGGTAAGATCTGCCTTTGCTTGTCTTCCAGGCCACGGATACAGCAGCTTGCTTGGAACCCACCAAAGACTTGGAAGAACGAACGGCTGAACTGGGGGAACCACTCTTGCTAGGAGCTCCCTTGCTGAAGCGGATCCGTGCAGAGGCACAAACTTTGGAGCCCAGCCCACCCTCTGAGGTTTAACCTCAAGCTTAGATTCAGGCCTGTCCTTCCCACCTCTTCTGATAGATGGATCTACCCGGGAGAACTAGAATTTATGGCATTAGGTTAGCTAAATATGGTGGATCCAAACCATCAGTCTGCTGCCCCCTAGTGGAGGCATAGCATGACAACACTGTTTACATGCCCCAACCATATTTTGTACATGGCTTGTGCATGTATGGAAATGAAACGTGGCTGTGGGGAGGGAGGCCTATAACCAGAAGTAGCTGTGGGGAGTTACAGAAGTGAGAAAGGAATGAGCAAAGCTGCTTACGTTACCTATGCAGAAATGAGATTTACATATTGGGAATAGGACAGAGTAAAAGTAAAGGTCTGTTTAATACACGCGTCAGGAAGGTCAAAAGACTCCCCAATTCTATCTTCTGTGCTAGTTTTTCAGCGTAAAAGAGCATCCTGGAGTTGAAAAGCAAAGCTGCAATTTTACATCCATTCCAAATCCAAATTTTGCAGCGTGGAAATGCATATTCCGGGAAGAGAGCAAGATGCACAATTTAAACTTAAGTAATTCATAATGCTAAATTTTAGGGTATCAGCAGTTTTCTTTGGAAACCTGGAAACTAAAGGCGTGCAAAATGGGACCGTGTTTGTGGCTGCCAAATCCCACGCTGCTTTGCCAGGAGAATGAACACACTGAACCTTGATGTGAAGCCTCAAATAAGGCCTGGAATTAAGCCTCCATTGAAATGATGAACTCTGCCCTAAAGACTCTTTTACATGAGCATGTAAAAAAGTGCAGGGCTTTGATCACATGGGCCAAGGCCACCATCTTGACTGCTTTGACCTCCCCACAAATGCCTCTGGATTCTATGCACCTGAGACACTGGGCTTTATATTCCAAGGGGAAATTCTCCCTTATAGATTGTTTCTGTTGTTGAAAACTCAGAGGAAGTCTTAGGGTTGAGGTAGAAAGAAAAGGCCAGGAGTCTTGTTGTAGAATGTAAAAACACCAACACACTTATAATGGGAAGGGCCATCCTTTAAAAAGTGTTGCTGGGTAATTTCACCCCTGGTTCCCACTCTGATCGATGGATTTTCCAGTTGTCACCCCAAAAAAGCCCCTTGCAAGCCCACTGCAAAGACTAACAGGTTGGGAAGGCACACAGGGCACGCCAAGGGCTGAATTTTCGCTCTGGGGTTAAAGGATGCAACCAGAAAATGTGCAAAGCTGTGGTTTGCTGGGTAATATAAGGCAAAATGAGGTTTCTTTGCTTATGGCTTTGCATGAGGGATGATTCCAGTGTGGGGCTGAGGCATGTTTAGGAGCCCCAATGATGTCACGTTCATGGTGTCATGCTGCAATTATGTCACTGGGACCAGTTGCATCATTCGTATCATTTGCATAATGCACCATGACATGTGTGATGGCACACAGCCCCCGGAGATGTCTGTGGTGTGGAGTTGCAGCCAGCAAATAAAAATAATGCTTTCTAACTTTTTAGGGAGGGAAAAAAAATGTACGCTACTTACTAAAGCTATAGAATTCATTAGAATTCATGAACAGGTGGGAATGCATTTTGGCAGTCGTTCTTCAGGCTTCCTTAAGATTGGTCGAACCTCAAGTGTATATATTTTCTCTAGGTGTGTTTCAAACACCGTGACCCAGAAATTGTGACAATCCACATTTAGAAGGATTGTGTGCAAGAGACCCTCGTGTGTGTTATTTGCCAAATATATGTGGCATAGGAAGCCATTCACCAATTGTGGATTTGCCTCAAGGAAGACACGCTGTTGTATTTGTTCAACTTGACATATGGTATAGTTGCACAATTTCTTGCACACGTCTCAGTTCTTGATGGAAGCTTTTTCATGTGTGAAGTCAGCCCTAAGAGATTCATTCGTATCAGGTGAAGGATCTAGTAGCTAGTGAAAGTACAGTATGATTTGATTTAAAAATATCATGTTAGCATTTTTATATCTATGATTTTAGAAGCAACTTTTAATTTTACATTGTAATTTTTATAGTTTATAAACCGTTATTCCTCATTCAGAAACTGGTGAAGGTGTTTCTTTATCTTAAAGGAAAGGTGGATATTCTTTAAAACCAACATTTTTTTTGCATGCATGGAACATATTTTGTCAAGACTAGTTCCTAAATGACCTCCCAATTCTCAAATTTTGGGTTAGGTAGCCGGCATTTTGCAGGTCCTGGGTGAGCTCAGTCATAAACTCCATTTTCAGACTTTCTCCTCCTTAGGGCCAGCTAGAAGGAAGCATCTAGCTGACATTGGCTGCTTTTCAAAAGCTAAATAGGATCAGACCTGGTTAGAAGTTGGATGGGAGATGGCAAGACATTTCAGACTGAAGAGTCAAAAACATCCTGGAGGAAGGCAGAGTTTTCACATTGTGTGAACTCAGCTTAAAGTTGGTTTTGTGTTTTATGTGGATTCCTCAAACTAGGTTAATCCATAACCACAGATCAGTTCACCAAGAGAAAGCCAGTCAGAAACAGAGTGTTTAGGCCAGTGTTTCTCAACCTTGGCTACTTTAAGATGGGTGGACTTCAACTCCCAGAATTCCCATGCTGACTGGGGAATTATGGGAGATGAAGTCCACCCATCTTAAAGTAGACAAGGTTGAGAAACACTGGTTTAGGCAATCCTAGGCTAGATGGCCCTGAAGAGCTGTGATTTAGTGGAAAGCAATTTTCTTCACTTCCTTGAACAGATTTCAGCTGATTAAATCTGCTCCCTTCTAAATGTGTAACAACCATTCTGAAGCCATAAAAGGTATATCTTATGTTGTTCATTTAGACCAGACGTGCAAAAATGGTAATTCAGCAACCTTCCTAGTCGCTAAGTGCCCCCATGGCTGCAGCCAGCCCCCCCCCCGTTGGGCAACCTGGAGTTGTTTTTTAAAATATTTTTTATTGAAGGTTATATAAAACTGATAAAACTAATACAAAAGTCAAATACAAAAATAGATTAAAAAGTTATAAGACAGTGGAAAGAAAAAGACAAAAAAAGACTGCCACAAAAAAAAATAGTAAGAAACTTCCCCCTTCATCCCCAGCACATATATATAACATTAACAACTTATCAGTCTCTCTTAAAATACTATGAAATACACCTTCATTCCATACTTCACCCCATTTTCTATAATCCCATCTGTAAATTCTCAGCTCTCCTTATTAATCCACAAAAGGTATAAAGATTAACTGACTTTACTACCACCATAAGCATTTATGTTGGCTCTTGGGGTAATTGATTCTGCCCTGTCATCTTGAATTTTATAGTATTTTTATGTATATCGTCTTTTTACATAGTATGATTCTTTAAGCTTATTTAATGTGGATAGTTATATTTTTTACTGTTTTCACTGTTTGATTTTAATTGTGAGCTGCCCAGAGTCACCCTCTGGGGGAGATGGGCAGCATATCAATTTAATTAATTAATTAATTTAGTCCCCCCTCCATCTTTTGGTTCCGGTATAGGATTAAATATTCCCAGGATTTCTTGAGCCAATTTATAAAATGCTTCCTTTAAGGTGGCCCTCTGGTGCCGTCTAGTGATTAACCTTCAAGGCTTTGTTATTGGATCAAAATGTAAACATACATTTCTTTCCCACACCAGAGGATCTTTTTAATTCACTTCCAAGTCTTTCTTTAAATCAACTTCATCCAAATCCTCAGCGTTTAAAAACTTTCCAAAGAACAACACTATAATTCCCCCTTTGTTATATATTACAAAAAATTAAAAATACAGAGCTGGAAACAGGTAATGTTCTTTCTTTTTCAACGGACTGAAGAGAACTCACCGGGCGAATGTCCAGCTTGCAGCTTTGAAGGTTTTTTGATCTTAATAAAACAGTAAGAAAACAATTAAACAAGGTGATTAAAAAGATGAGGTTTGGATGAACTTAAAAAGTCCTTAAAAAGGCTACAGTAAGGGCTCAAAGGTGAAATCCCAACTGTCGCAAGCGGCTGTAAAAACAAGAGTTTCTGCTGCCCATTCGAAGGAAGGAAGGAAGGGTTAGCAAAATTTGAGAGTTTCTGACTCTCCCCAGTTAGGATTCAGTCCGGCAGAAGATCAGACACGAAAACACCAGCTAAGATTTTAAAGTTTTATTGAAAGTGGGGTAACAGAGTCAGCTGGGGTCTCCTCTTAAGGCAAAGAACCCCGATCACAACCAAAGATTTTATACATGTTTCTTACACAGAGATACAGCAATTAACAAATTGATTGGCTAAAATTGGCATAAATTTGGGATCCTCCTTATTACTGGGGGAAACATATCTTCCCGATGACCTATTGGTTGCTAGTCAAAGTTCAGGGCACCCCCTTTGATCTTCTGATATTTATTGTTTCATGCAATGCAGAGATATCACCAGAGCAGCAAAAGGGTGTTCTGAAGGCTAGCAGATTGGGGTCACTTCCTCCCATATCTTTATGGCCTTGACACTTAAGGAGACAAGATGTCTGGCCAATGTCTTTTCAACAATAACAGAAATGGGGGCTCGTCCGGGATCTCTTTAAGCGTCTGGTGATCCTGAAAGGAGGGAGACCTTTTGGGGCCCGGTGACCCCTAAGGGATCCACAAAGGAAGGAAGGGACCCCCAAAACCCACAAACCAGCTGTCCGGAATGCACGAGGATAATCTCCAGATCTTTCTTTGATCCAGAGAGCATTACAGGCAGTCTGGATCCTGCATCCAGCTGCCCTTCGGCCGCAAGGTCCCCGCAATGAGCGGCTGCCCGCTCTCCATCCTCACTGGAAGTCCCTGAGCTATCGGCAACCTGGAGTTGGTTTTCAAGAAGCAAAGTGGGGGTGCGTTAATGTTTGCAACTGCTTCAGCCCCCTTCGCTCCTTAACACCCCCCCCCCCCCACCAACACACACAAGCCGCCTCTAGCG